CCCAACATTCCTTCCTCCCTCTCCTTCCTTTCCTCTTATTCCCTCTCTTTCCCTCATTCGCTTCTCCCTTTCCCTTCTTATTCTCTCCTCTCTGTCGGGTCTTGCAATCATTGCCCCGAGTTCTAACCCCGCACCGACTGAACTCGCACACACGGCAAATTTAGGCAAAGCAAATAGAAGCAGGCATAAGGACGAAGAATAATTATTGTGATAAAGGGAATGAAACGAAGCAGGCATAAGGACGAAGAATAATTATTGAAATAAATGGAATGAAACTAAGGAGGCATAAAAATGAAGAATAATCGTTGTAATAAAGGGAATGAAACTAAGCAGGCAGAAGCACGAAGAATAATAATTGTGATAAAGAGAATGAAAGTAAATTATTTAATGGTTTACTTTCTCCTTCTTCGGCTGGACTTGTCGCCGTCATGGGTCGATAAAAATACACTGAAAAGGTGCATCGTTAGGAGCGAGAAGAGGGAACGAAGGAATAGAGGGAGTGGAAAAGAAAGACGAAGGGGTGGGAGGAGTAGAGAAAGATCATTCGGAAGAGGAGGAGGAGGAAAAAAAGGAGAAGAGAAAGATCATTCGAAGGAGGAGGAGGAGGGGGAGGAAAAAATAGAAAGTATTACGATAAGGAGGTGGAGGAGGAGGAAGCGGGAAGTACCGATGAAGACGAAAGAAAGAAAAATAGGAAGAAAAAAAGAGTAAAACAAAGAAATAGAGAAGGAACCATAAGCAGAATAGGAGGAGGGAAAGCTGATAAAGAAGAAAGAAAGAAAAAAAGAGTAAACCAAAGAACTAGAGAAGGAACTATAAGCAGAATAGGAGGAAGAAAAGCTGATAAAGAAGAAAGAAGAAAAAAGAGTAAATAAAGAAATAGAGAAGGAAACATAAGCAGAATAGGAGGAAGAAAAGCTTGATAAGAAGAAAGAAAGAAAAAAAGAGTAACCAAGAATAGAGAAGGAACATAAGCAGAATAGGAGGAGGAAAGCTGATAAAGAGAAAGAAAAAAAAAGAGTAAAAAAAAGAAATCGAGAAGGAACATAAGCAGAATAGGAGGAGGAAAAGCTGATAAAGAAGAAAGAAGAAAAAAAAAAAAGGAGTAAAACAAAGAAATAGAGAAGGAACCATAAGCAGAATAAGAGGAGGAGGGAAAAGTCTCGAAGGAGAGGTCCGGCTCCGGTCTTTCCTGTCAGCTCCTTGACGAATTTCCAGAAGGGCTAATTGGCTCGCATCAGGCGATTCTCTGGGGGGGGGGGGGGGGAGGGGGGGAGCGTTATCGTGTAATGGACTGGCGAATTTTTCCTTTTTAAGGCGATGACGGGTTTTTTGTGCTGTGGTGGGGGTGGTTGGTTGGTTGTTGTTTGTTTGTTGTGTGTGTGTGTGTGTGTGTGTGTGTTGTGTGTGTGTGTGTGTGTTGTGTTTGTGTGTGTTGTGAGTGTGTGTTGTGTGTGTGTGTGTGTGTGTGTGTGTGTGTGTGTGTGTGTGTGTGTGTGTGTGTGTGTGTGTGTGTGTGTGTGTGTCGGTTCGTTCTTTCGTGTTGTAAGGAGAAAGTTAGAATGTGCGTGTGTGTTTTTGTGTTTATATTTTGTGCCTGATTATGTATAGAGTACGTGTGTGTGCGTTCGTCCGTTCGTCCGTTCGTCTGTCTGTGCGGGCGAGCGAGCAAGCATGCGTACGTGCGTCTCTACGCTTGTTTGTATAGGTATCCGCGTATTTGTTAATGTTTTATCTCCCCCTTCCTTTCGCCAGCCCCCATTTCCTGCGTGTATTTTCCCGAATGAACTGTCCCAGCGCTGCCGTTTGGATGGTTATCTGTTGAATTACTGCTCGCCATTTCCGCCCGTGCGAGTTTCCCGCCAAATTTTCCCGCCAAATTTGCCCGTGTCCTCTTTGCCGGGCCGTTTTTTTTTTAACCTGGGGAATTTTTTGTTTTTGGTTTGAATAATTTTTGTATGGTGTTATTTTGTGGTTTGTGATTGTGTTGAAAAATTTTTGGGTAAGATTTGAAGTGTGGATAGTATGTAATTTTTTTTCGTTAGTTTAGTGGGTTTTTCTCTCTGGTTAATTTTTCTTCGTCTTTTAGGGATTTTGTAACCTTTCTTTCTTTTGTCTCCGCTTATCTTCTTCGCGCCTTCTCTTTTCGCTGTCTCACTTTCTCTCTTCGTCTTTCTTTCCTTTTATGCCTTTCCCTTCCCATTTCCCTCCATTCCTATTCTCCCTCCCTTCCCCCTCCCATTACCTTCCACCTCTCTCTCCTCCCTTCCCCATCCTACTCCTTCCCTCCCTTCCTCATTTCCCCACACGCATATCACCCCTCCCCCCTCCTCCCCCGCCCCACGAGGCGAGGGTCCCCCGGGTCGTTCGCTCGCCTCCCGTGGACCGGATTTTTGCCCATTCAGCGGGTCGTCCTCCCCCGAACCCTGGCCGCTCGACTCGATTTTGTTTCTTCGCGGATATTTTAGCTTTTTTTGTCGTCTTTTTTCTTTTTTACATGGGGGGTGGGGATTTTTCTTTATTTGTGTGAAATGCTTTCTTTTTTATTCTGGGTTTGTTTGTCTCTTATCTGCACATCGTGCATCACGATTCAATAACTGAGCGACTATCTACCTGCTTTAGTCATCAATAACACTTTCAGTTCTGATCGGTTTCCTTTATTATTTTCCTTCTTATCATATTCTCCTCATCTCTTATCCCTTTCCTCTCCTACTCTCTCTCTCTATATCTTCCTCTTCTCAATCCTTCTACTTTCCTTCTCTTATATCTCTGATCTCTA